AAAAAAAAAAAAAAAAAAAAAAAAAAGAAAAAGAAAAAAATCCATTCCAGAATTGTTGATATGTCTTAAGATAAAAAGAGCGGGCTTACTAGTGGGCCACTGAAATACTTTCAAATCAAGTTTGCCTTCCTTAATTAATTTTAAATGGTTGAGCAATTTAGAATGTGAATTTCATCAGAGGAGGAGAGTATGGGGCCCAGTAGTGCAAGGAAGGCAAGTCTGCAGTGGGTATTGGGTTGATGGGGCTGGATTTATCAAGTTTGATCAGTCATAGAGGAAGTTTGTGGTGTTTTTTTATGATTGAAATATTGATTTTATTGTGAAATTTTATTCCTTAATCATAGGGGAAAATCGGGAAAGGAAGCAGCAAACAACTACACAAAATACGCATGTTTCTCACTGACATAGGGTCTGCTCTGACAGCAAACCTCTTCATGGACATAGTGGTAAAATAAAAAGTCTTGGCCTCCATTCCCCAGGGAGACATCCCGTGCTTTTGTGGACAGATCCACTTCCTGAAAGACTCCAGATTCCCCTTTTAGGGAGCCCTACCAAGAGGTAACAGATGTCCACCACTGGGGATTCTGTGACGTGTGGTGCCTTTGCATAGTTACCTTTGAGATCACAAGATGATTCAGGAATGAAAAAGGTGCCCAGACCACACCTCCCTGATCTATATTTAAATAGTTTCTTAGAAATTGTTTTCTATTTCTTGCTAAATATCCCTCCACATTTCTTACATAACTCTTTACAGGCAAGATATTTGTTTGATACTAATTCATTGACCTTCTCCCTTTGTATCTGATGCAGTGGTGTAGAAGGCACTCCATAAATTTGGTTGAGGGAATAAATGATTTAATGAATCAATCATTCATTCAGTATTTATATGATTGTTCCATGGTCATTTATTTGGATATGGAAAAATTAAATTTCATCTTATCGTAGAACTCTATATGGGTACTTGCACTCTTTTAATATATCCTAGCCAGTAGGGCTCAATGTCTGTGTTTCCAAATGAATATTTACTTCGTCACTGGGATGAATGTCACCATGGCCAGGAATTGTCAGCAGGTTTGCCAAGTGACCTCAACTAGCTATAAGGATCTGCTCTTGGAACTCTGCCACAATGCAGTGATGACATAACTACTTTCAGAGAAATGACCTATCATGTGAAGTGAACAAAAGATTTCAGGATGCCACGATGTCATTTTGCAAATTATATTCCATAGTGCTCCAGATATATTCCCTCTAAATGTCTGAGAGGGTTGAAGTTGTTTTTGGTGAATGACAGATTGTTGCTTTTGGACAATTTACTCAACAGTGATAACATTGAAATGGAGACAGTAGACAAGATGGAAAATAAATGATCCTTGAGTAAATGGCAATGATGGGAACCTTGGCTGTCTTTTGTAGGAGAGATTCTGTAAAAGCCATCTCAAAGAGCTTGAATATTATGGAAAAATCACTGGGAAGCCTTCTCCAAAAGAAGTGACCAAGAACAATATACTTCTCATACATTTTCACGTTTCTCTCCTACCTCATAACGTTCTTTTAATTTAAAATACGTAGTAAAAGCTTAAAAAGGAGATAATCCATTTAATTTGAATTTATTTATAAGCTGTAAAGTTTTTGATGTTTCTTTTCTACATGCTCCTGCACACAAACAAATGAACTATTTTGAGATTGGAGCTGGGCAAGGAACCATTAGAAACTCCCTTACAGACATTTTACTAGTGGCACAATTAACTTCCACCACAATAAAGAAGCCATGACTAAAATTTCTGCCCTGGATGAGATTCTTTAAACTTGGCTAATGATTTAATTACCTGTGACACTTACTCAAGTTCTCCTCTATTTATTTCTTGCAAAGTTGTTCACACTTCCCTGGAAGTATCTCACTATGGATTCTTCAAAACAAAATCTGTCAGTCAGTTAAGGAGAAAGAAACACAGATTATGTGTTCACATAGTTAAGACTTGTAAGGATGAGACAGTGCAGGTGGAACAGTGAATACCCCTTTAGATATTCTAGCTATTATTAACTTTTTAAAAATGTTTCTGTGACTTCTGCTCATAAGTCTCTAAAGGAGGACATTTTGGATAAAAGTTTAATAATGAACTGCAAATGTTATTTTACTTTCTAGATCTTATTCAAAAAACTGTGTGTGTGTGCATTTGTGTGTCTTCACTTGTCCTAAATACTCACTTGTTTCTTGTTATCAATAAGACCTACTACTTGATTTGTCTAGAATCTGTATATTAAAATCAAAAATATTTTTCATCTTGTTAATCTTTTTGTGTTTCAGCACTGGGTCATTTTCTACATTTGTAGTATATTTATGAATCAGTTTTATAATTATAAATTATCTAGAGATATTTCCAATATGAAGTAGTATATATGTATATATGTATATACATATATGTATATAGATATATACATATATATCTATATACATATATGTATATAGATATATGTACATATATATAACATAAAATTTAACCAACTCCTAAATTCTATGGTGTGGTTTTGAGATCAGTATATTAACATCAGACATATGGAATCGAGAAATCCTTTGTGATGGTATATACACCATGCCTATCCCTGGACTGAGGGTCTCCACATTTAAAAATAATTTCATTTTTTGGGGCGCCTGGGTGGCTCAGTCAGTTGAGCGTCCGACTTCGGCTCAGGTCACGATCTCACGGTTCGTGAGTTCGAGCCCCGCGTCAGGCTCTGGGCTGATGGCTCAGAGCCTGGAGCCTGCTTCCGATTCTGTGTCTCCCTCTCTCTCTGCCCCTCCCCCATTCATGCTCTGTCTCTCTCTGTCTCAAAAATAAATAAAAAAACATTAAAAAAAATTTAAAAAAAATTTAAAAAAATAATTTCATTTTTTAACTTTAACACAAATATCCTAAGTTGCATGCAAAAAATTAGTCATTACATAAACCTATCAGTTATAAAAAAATGTTAACTTAAATCAATGGCTAATTAATAAATATATTTTGCATTCACAATATGTAAGAATATTTTTTAGGTATTTAATTAATAAAATTATACTGGATTTTGCTTCCTTTAAGTTCTATAATGTCTTAGTTATAATATGAAGAAAAGTTGTTCTAACTTCAAAGCCTTGAATAACTATATTATGTCTTCTGAATTCCTCTGAAGAGCAAAGTTAGGAGCAGTGATTATTCTTCAAAACATAATTAATAGTTGATTTTATATTGACAACCCTCCCCATAATTTCTCTTCACTGTTTTTCCACAAACTAAATTCAGGCATGTGTTCTGCCTTATTTCCCCCTCTCCTTTTCTGTCTACCACATTTTGCATGTGTTATTTTTCATCTGTTTCTTATGTAAGTCAGTTTAGGCAAGAAAGAAATGAGGTAGAGAGACTGAGAAAAGGGAATGATACTGTGAGTCACTAATTTTTCAAACCTCCCCCCAACACACACATACTCCATCCATGACACAACATATAGAGGTAATCACCAAGAACATCATGATCCTTCATGACAGTAACTCAATACATGGTAGTAAACAGTACTGCTGCTGACTAAACTCAGTATTATTTAGAAATAATCATACAACAATTAGATACCTAATAATTACTCTGTCTGCTCTCTAAATTATAACACAATTAATCAGATAAACAGAAAATACATTTATATACCTTCTCTATTTCTCTATCAATGGAGCCTTATACCATTTAGGGCACAATTTACCATATTCTGCGACCTGTGCCATGCATTCTAGAACTCTCCCTAAAAGTCCAGAACTCTTAGTGCTGTCAATCCATTGTCAAGACAGAATATATGCCTGTGATCTAGGCCAAGTCTACCATTAGTACCTAAGGACACTCCTTCCTTCAGTACTACTCACTTTTGCGTTCCATTCGCATAGCTCAGAGTACCTTATTCCAGAGAATTCTTCAAATCTATCTCCCTGAGTCAGGACACGAGGCCGCAGACCCAATCTCATTATTTTGCCTCATAGTAGGATCAACCTGATTCTATTGAGCAATTCCACATGAATCTCGTTTTCACCTAGATACATGTAGCTCTGCCTTCCTATTTAATGTGTGGCTCATGTTTCAACAGCTTCAGCATATCACCTAGGAGCATGTTAGAAGTCCAAACTCTCGGAACCCAACACCTCTATGTACTGAATAAAAATCTGCATTTTAACAAGATTCCTCAGGATCCATATATACATTAAAATGAGGAGCACTGGTTTGGGGGTTAGGGGTAGATAATGATTTCAGATATAAACCTCCCAGGCCGAATTGGCTATTCAAATGCCCGCAAAAGACATGGAGGCAATGCAAATGTGACAAGAAAGTCAGACATAAAACCAGCCAGGAGTAGTGGTAAATGAGAAATGTATTTTATAAATGTTCCATTTAAAATGGTGCAGAGGCCACATGTTTCTCGTTAATTATTGTCATCCAGGAAAGTAGATTCTAGATGTGTCAGACCTTCTGAATTTTAGGAGAGGAAATTTTTTTGCAGTTAAATTTTTAATTATTCACATATTAGTAACTAATCATGTTTTTAAACATTGTGTGAGCCTAGCAAATACATCTGCATGCTGCATCACTAGTTTGCAACCACTGTTTTGAGGGCTATCTTCACATTAAAGGAGAGTATTTAAAGAAAACCAGACCTGAGGTATTTTTAATATTTTGGATAATTTTAGTAAAGTTTTTAAGAAGTCAATATCTTAATTATAACTGTGAAAAAGCTGCAAAGCTAACCTAAGGGGTGTCTCTGTGACCGCATTTAGTATAGAGAACTAGCGACAGCTTCCTTGAGAAAGTGAAATAATAGCTAAATTCTGATGGCTGAGAAAAAACAAAAATTAAACAAAGGAGAGTAGAAGTAGGCAAGGAGATGTGGAAAAGTTTCCAGGAGAGAAAACAGTGATCAAAGGCCTAAGAATGGGAAAGGTTAAGTGCATTTGAGGAATTGAAGAAAGGCCTGGTGACTTAAACTGGCTTGTGATTATGGCACAAAAGGGTTAAATCATGAAATTCACTTTGTACTCTTAGCATTGGCTTCTTTCGTAAAATAAATGTGGAAAATTTTGTGACATAGAATATGATTGAGGATTTACCTGTACAAACATAACTTTACATTATCTTATTGGCCAACAAACTTTTCCTCCTATGGAAGGGAGCAATGAATGGATTCTAAAGAAGCATCTGAAATATTATAGTCCTATCTAACATTCTGATTCTAAATAAGGCCTCATTTTGAAGAAGGTTAAAGGCTTTACATTCTTTGATCTCCTCAGTCAGCCTTCCATGTGCCTTGAAAACACTTTAGTGTGTCAGCAATGTGGTGCGAGTTAAAGGGACTAGTAAGTTTCTCCCAAAAGATATTTCTCTGTTGCCCTATCTAGTGCCAGAATCTTAACTACTGAATATCCAGTTCCTTCACACGTAAAATATGCAAACCTTTATAATGTTATTATATATATATATATATATATATATATATATATATATATATATGATGCAAGGTAAGGTGTTTATAGTCCCGAGGAGATGCTGTTATCAATAAACATCAATTCCCCTTTTCTTGGACGTGAGGCCATATTTAAATAAAAGAAAAAGGAGCCAACAGAAATTACTTAAGGTAAACAGTGTAAAACAAGATGAAAGCAGGATTTTGAAAAATACAAATTCATAGTATACCCTAAGACAAGACATGAGACCTGGTGAAAGAAAATGATAAAAATTATATAATGGATATCTCCTTCTGTCAGTATTCTCAATGTGTATCATTACTATATGTATAGCTACAATGGAACAGGGTAGTAAAACTTGAAGACGTGTGAATGTCATACAAATTGCCCCATCTTATTAGATTTTTTCATTGATTATAATATTATCTTGTTTTTCAAGGAAATAAAACCAATCCCTTTTTGTGTTTTTTTATAACACATATATATGTACACACGTAAATACATGCATGTAATTGAAATCATCCTTACAGTTACTTTCCATCCTTTTTGTTGTTTCTTTTACTTCTAGGTAGAATTCTACCTTATAATTGTTTAAAGAATAGTCATCCTGCAGCATATTCCCTTTGGGGATGAATTCTAATGTCCTAGAGTGTGCTGAAAGGTACAGATTGATTATAACCTCTATTTACCTCGTGGATCAGTAAGTGATAAATCGCTCTCCTTTGGGCTCCACAAAGCTGCAATGCTGGCTGCAGCATATTCACCCTGGAGGGCACTGCTGAACCTAAAATTATTTAGAAATGTTGGGAAGTTAGGTGCCTCATTTCAAGGAAGAAAGGAACCTTTTAAAAAGTTTTTAATATGTATGCATCATATTTGCATCAGTAATTTTCTCTTTCGACTTCATACTCTCTTTTTTGAAAAGTCTGTCCTGGGAGGCTGAGAGAGCTATAGTGTTGATTTCAACATACAACTTCTCTATTTAAAAAAGTAGAAAATGGCACCTCTCTGTTTCACGTCCATTCTTAAAAGTCCATGAAAAAATGAATGAATGAACAATAGCAAGTAAGGAACTAATGAATTGACTTTGTGGTTACATAAAGAATATTGTCATGCATTGGCTTAAATTCTGTTGGCATTTACTCCTTTACTTATTTTTTTTTTGGATGCATAAATGGCCAAGTTTGTTAGAAATGTGGAAGAATTTATATATAATGTCCTTAGAGTGTGTATTTAATAAAGTTTATCTTAGCAGATACTCCAAACACACCTGTTTTTTGTGTATTAAATTATATTCCAGTTAGATTATTGCTTGTCTCAGAGCTTCCAAATATGATAAACAATTACACCATAGTAATCCCAAGAGCTAAATGTGAAATTAATTCAACAAAGGAAGCCCAAAATTCCGTGACATCATGCTTGATGCCCCTGACAACTGAGGTGTACTTCACTACATGTCAGGACAACTGGCCAACCAGCAAGTGTGTAAGTTTTTCTTTTTTTTCCTGAATCCAAGTCCATATTTCCATAAAGCTTCCATATGAACTGATAATAACTGTCTCATATTTACTCTTTCATGTATCTATTTTTTTCATTTGTTCATTCTTTTTAAAAGCTTGCTATTTGAAAGACTTTATATGTTTGGTACTATGGCATAGTAAAAGTTAAAACAAATATGTATCTAGACCTCAGACTACTTATAGTATTGTTGAGACATATTACGTTCTCAAAATACTATAAGGAAGAGTATATTGTAGTAGGGAGCATAGCTATACAATGAGGAGAAAACAGGCTTTGGGGAAGGTCACTTGGGTTCCTATTTTAGCCCCATTGTGCTGTGAAAGTTTGTCAAAGTCTCTGTACTCCAGTTGCCTTCATTATAAAATAGCAATAGAAAGAATACTTCCCTTATGTGTTGTTTTTGGGACTGAGACAACATATGAAAGGTCCTTAAAATAATGCCTGAGTTATAATGGCTAAATATATATTAAGGCTGCAAATAAATTTATTTCCATTTCGGACCAAAGAAGTTCACATTATATTCATGCATGATAATAAATTTTGTTTATTTTTTTTAATTCCAGTATTCTTTTTTTTAATTTTTAATGTTTATTTATTTTTTGAGAGAGAGAGAGAGAGAAAGGGAGACAAAAAGACAGACAGTAAGTGGCAGAGGGGCAGAGAGAGAGGGAGACACAGAATTTGAAGCAGGCTCCAGGCTCTGAGCTCTCAGCACAGAGCCCGATGCAGGGCTTGAACTCACAGACCACGAGATCATGACCTGAGCTGAAGTTGGACACTCAACTAACTGAGCCACCCAGGCGCCCCTTTAATTCCAGTGTTCTTAACATACAGTGTTATATTAGTTTCAGGTGTATAATATAGTGATCCAACAATTATTTACATTACTCAGTGCCCATCATGATAAGTTTGCTTTGTAATCCCCATCACTTATTTCACCCATCCTCCCCCAACCCACCATACACCTCCCCTATGGTAACCGTCAGTTTGTTCTCTTTAGTTAAGAGTCTGTTTTTTTGGTTTTTCCCTTTTTTCTTTGTCCACTTGTTTTTATTTTGTTTCTGAAACTCCACATATGAGTCAAATTATATGGTATTTGCCTTTCTCTGACTGACTTATTTCACTTAGCATTATACTCTCTCGATCCATCCATGTAGTGGCAAATGGCAAGATTTCATTATTTTTTATGGCAGAGTAACACTCCATTGTGTGTGTGTGTGTATGTGTGTGTGTGTGTGTGACCTCTTCTTTATTAATTCAATAGACATTTGGGCTACTTCTATACTTTGGCTATTGTAAATAACGCTGCAATAAACATAGAGGTGCATATATCATTTTCAATTGTTTATATTATTTGAATTTTTTGTTTTTGTATTTTGGGGGTAAATAAACAATAGTGGAATTACTGGATCATATGATCGTTCTATTTTTAATTTTTTGAGGAAACTGCACAGTAGCTGTTCCAGTTTTCATTCCCACCAAATGTGCATGAGTGTTCCTTTTTCTCCACATCCTCACCAACACTTGTTTCTTGTGTTGTGCATTTTAGCCACTCTGACAGGTGTGAAGTGATATCTCATTGTGGTTTTGATTTACATTTCTCTGATGACAAATGATATTGAACATCTCTTCACGTATCTATTAGACATCTGGGTGTCTTCTTTGAAGAAATGTCTGTTTATGTCTTCTGTCCATTTTTTAATTGGATTATTTGTTTTTTGGTGTTGAGTTATGTAGGTTCTTTATGTATTTT